GCAGTGGTTTTCAACCTGTGGTCTGTGGACCCCTGGGGGTCCACAAACTACGCCTAAGGGGTCTGCAAAAGATGACTATGATCAATAAAAAGTATGTGAATACCCACACTTGCAACTCAAAGGGGTATGCACCCCCATTCAAACATTTTTAGAGGTCTGCAAATGAAAAAAAGGTTGAAAACCACTGCCCTAAAGCATCCGCCGCTTGTCACTGTTGGAGAGAGGAGATCAGGCTAGATGAGCTTTTGGGCTGATTGAGTATGGAAATGAGCATCTAGTCTTTGTTAATTCTCTGAACTAAGCATCTTGGTGAAATGTGATTAATTTGGCTTTGCCTATAATGAATGCAGCATGTGGGGGGAGACAGGACACTGACTTGGACTGCAAACACCCAGATAGTTGGGCAGCTTCAAATAACTTCTATTGTGAACTCCAAGTTGCCTTGCTAAAAAAGTACCGTGACTTTTGTGTGTTTGCTCTATATTGTCATGACATGACTTCCCCTGTGACGAGCTAGCCAGCCATCAAGGGTGTCCTATAGCAAAAGGAGGAAGTTCAAACGTGAGGCCACAGGCATCTGACACTATCAGCCGCAGCACAATCTGCTGTTACTGTAGTGAGAGGGGCTATAAGGCCGACTTGCTGTAGGTACCAGGGAATTTATCCCTTCAGCCATGTCCTTGAAAAGGTTCCCCCAGCCTGGCAGATCCTCAAGGTACCAAGGGGATGGGACATCAACATAGATGAAAGTGGGAAGAGTCCAGCACTTTGATTCCTACCCTGGCGGGGTGGGTATCCCGTGAGGGGTACAGCTGTTGTTGGATATTGTCTTGGCCCAGATGAGCCTAAGTCTACAGAGGACACTAGTCATCCCCTCACCATCCCTCCTGGAGCCGGTGTTCGTGGCATTTCCATAGAAGAAGCTTCCATGAGGCCTTGGGGAATAGCAATCAGTGACTTTTACGTGGCCTTTTCCATCAGTCGATCTCCAAATATTTTACAAAGGAGGTCAGCATCGCTGAGCAATGGGGATGAGCAGAGGGCTCCAAGTCCGGGTCTCCTGCATGCTAGTCTAGTACCTCGGGCGTTGCATCCTATTAGCTATCTGTCTGCAGCGCTGTCTGTCTCGGCGCGCTTCCTGACATATGCTCAGGACTGCTCTCAGGTGGCTGCGTTGCCTCATTACAGGGATTTGCTCCATGCAGAGTAGAAACGAGTGGACGGGGGTGGTGCCTGGGGCAAAGCATGAAGGACATGTCAATGCTGTACTCATCAGGTGTTGCATTGTGGGAACTGGGAGGTATGGCGCCCTGAGCATTGGCTACAACGAGTAGTGGTCAGTGCTGCCAAACAGTGGAGACTTTCTTTTTCCCAAATACTTTAATGAGACATAACAATCAGTCAGCACTGGTTTTTGCCCCTCGCACTGAATGCTGTACGCTCTCCTTGCTCTGTGGTACTAGGCTCAGTTACGGCTGACTGGCTGGCTCATGGACAGCTTATTGTCCTGGCTCTTTTAGTGCTGCTCAGACTGGAAATGTCCAGCACAGCTGCCTCCTCCTCGGTAAAAGCATTTGCCCACAAATCTAGTCTAATGGCAAGGAAACAATCGCAGTCAGACATTCAGGGGATAATGCACCCATCCCAGACAGGCTTAATGTATTGTTTTGGATGCACTGCCTTGCTCCACTGTGTTGTTTTAATGCAACACAGTCTCCACGCTCATGAAGCTTGATGGTCTACCCAACGCAGAGCAAGTTGCCTTCACTCCCCCTTCCTGGGGACCTTTCCACGACACACAAACTGGGTGCTACCATGCAAGAAACCCATGGATACACCATATCTCCTAGGCAGCCTTCACGTGTGGTCCCTATAGACATGATTAGACACCCCAGCGATTAAAGTTGCTTGCCCCTGTACAATGGCCAACATGAATACCCACTTGGACTCGGCTGCCCCCGAAAAAGAATATAAAAGCCACAATGTGTGCAACACTCCTTGGGGGAGTGAGGCAGAAGGGTGATTTCATTTCAGATACAAAAGCAAAGAGGTAGAACTAACAGCTAATAAACCAAGACAGTTCTTGACTCAACTTTCAGACTCCTACAAGTATGAAAGCTACCCAGTGAACCTGAATGCAGCCTACGTATAGTCCTGTAACAACATTGCTAAAATCTCTTTGGGTGGTCGCTCTCAGAGTATGGCCCCACTGGTCCCTGGCTCTGGTCAGGCTGGGTTTTTATTAAGTCTCCTATGAGTCCACCGCATTAAAAATCCCTTGTTTTAGGGAGTATACTCTATTGTTAAAAAAAAAAAAAAAATCAGCTAAGAGCAGTGAAGAGTGGTGAACTCTGAACGTGCCCCGAAGAACCTAGCAGCTGCCATCGCACAAGCAAAACCAAACCACATCTACCCACAAGATAAAGGGTTTGGGGTCGAGTTTCCAGTCCATGAAGTCTGCTGCCAAGCTGCAATGCTTGTGATTGCTTGTATCAAGTCCCTAAATAATGCCCAGTAAATCCCAAATCCCATTGAGTGTTTCACAGTCACATAAAAGGGGAAAAAAAATAGGTAATAAGGATCAAGAATCGCACCGCTCATTAACTCCTTATCCGTGTCTGCTGGAGCCAGGGATGTCTCTGCAGCATCTCATGTTCTTAAAGGCAGCTTCTGCTAGTCATAAATACCAAAAGCTTCCCCCGTATATGCCCGAGCAATGCGATATAGGCCCCGTATAACAGAGCAGAATTTGTTCACCGTCAGCCAAACTTTTGAAAACGGACACTGATTTTGCATATCTCAGTTTTAGCTACTCAGCTCAAGACCTCTTTTTTGCCCCGAGCACGACTTGGGGTACCCAGTGCTGAAAATGTTGGCCTACGTGTGTGTGCTGTGCTTTACCCTGCACCCGAATCTCCAGGCTAGCTTTTGATACAGCTCTTGTTTCAATGGGACTAATGCCCGTGGCAATACAATTACAGGAGTGAGCCTCATTTCTAAGATCGCAGCTTGACTGAGAAATTGCCAACTATAAATAAAGACCTTCATTTGCTGTTGGATAGATCCGGCCTATACAAGCTGGAGTAGCTTTTGGAGTCATTTGGGCATACTTCTACCTTCTCAAAAGGTGCAAATCTCCTGTTAAGGGAGATGCTTATCCCTACATCTCAAAGCGCTTTCCAAAGGAGGTTGGCATCACTTTATGTCTGGGGAAACTGGCCTACGGTCATCCAGAAACCCCACCGCTGCACTGGGACCTGGCCCATGGTGTCCCCAGTCCCAGCTTGATGCTGTGCTCAGTAAGGCGAGTGTCTGCCTTTGCTAACGTGGGCAGAAAGTCTGCACAAGTGAGTGCAGCAAATTCAGTCCTTACTCTTCACCTTCCCGTATGGAGCCTCACCCGGAGACATTCAAGCTGTCCTCACTCTTCACGGTAGTGAGCGGGCTCTGCTCCAAGTGGGTGGGATGGTGGTTGCTCGTGCTTTTGGCTGCGCCAAGACCTTCTCCGCGTCTCGCTCGCACACTGGGCTCCTCCCTCAGGTGGATTTTCTGGTGCCTCCTAAGGTATTTCTTCAGCCGGTAGCGCTTCCCACACACCTGGCATTTGTAGGCCCCTCCTCTGGAGTGCAGCGCTTGGTGTTTAATGAGGTGGCGCTTTTGAGGGAAGCACTTCCCGCACTTGGTGCACTTGCACGGGCCCATCCTGATGTGGATGGACTGGTGGCGGAAGAGGTTGGCTTTCTGATTGAAGGTCTTCTCGCACTCGGGACACTTGTAGGGCTCCTCCTTGGTGTGGATCCTCTGGTGCCGGACGAGGTTGGACCTCTGCGTGAAGCTCTTCCCGCAGTCCGGGCACTTGAACGGCTCGCTCATGTGGACCCTCTGGTGCCGGACGAGCTTCCGGTTCATGCGGAAGCTCTCCCCGCACTCGCTGCATTTATATGGCCCCTCGCTGGTGTGGATCTTCCGGTGTCTGGTGAGGTTTGACTTCTGGTTGAAGCTTTTCCCGCAGTCAGGGCATGGAAAGATCCTTTCCTCTTTGGGAGCATCAGTCTTGATCAAGGGGCTTTTCTTGCTTTTAGCTCTGGCCTCCGGACTCTCCTTCGCTGCACTGGGAGACCCTCCTTTGTTGGGTCGCTGGCATTTCTTTTGCTTTTTCTTTGGGCTGCAGCTTTCCCCGCTTCCAGCATCCATCCCAGGTTCTTCTTTGATCTGGATCCTCTGGACGGTGCTCTTCTGACCGAAGGGGCTGGTGCGGTCCGCGCTCTCCTGAGGCTCGTCCTTAATGTGGGGCTCCTTGCACGTGGTGAGGGTGCTGACCTGGGCATCGCTCCCCTCACATTCGTGATCTGCATCCGTTTCCTTCTTAACCTGGATTCCCGGGGGACTAATGAGAGGTATCTTTGGATCAAAATGGTTTTCGCCATCGGTGCTTTCCTGCGGTTCCTGCTTAATGAAAGCGATCTGGTGTGCCAGCAGAGGGACGCTGGCCTCCTCTTCGGCGGACGCGTCTGGTTCCTCCTTTGCGCGGATGTCCCAAGGGATCTTTGGACTGCACCGGTTTCTGTATTCAATAGCTCCTGAAGATGCTCCTTGAGCTGAAGCATTCTCCATCGGGTTAAAACTGTCCCCAGCTTTGAAGGCCACATCTAGTTCGTCTTTAATCTGGATGACCCGGACAGACATGCCATTCGTGTGCCCGCTAGCATTGGGTGGCTTCTGCTTGGCATGGTTTTTCTGGTGGACATTAAAGTACCTCTTGGTGCTTAGGCTTTTCCCACACTCCGTACAGATAAACGGGCCTCCTCGAAGGTGAACCTTTTGGTGGGCCACCAAGGTGGCACTCTGTCCAAAGCACCGGCCACAGTCGGTGCATTTAAATGGCTTCTCCCGCTTGTGGATTTCCTTGTGGGCTGTCAGGGTCCCCTTCTTCACAAAGCTCTTCCCGCAGTCCGTGCACGCGTACGGCCTCTTCTCTTTGTGGGTCCGCATGTGGATGTTGAAGTAGATCTTGGTGCTGAGGTTCTTCCCGCAATGGGGGCAGAGGTACGGCCCGCCCTTCGCGTGCGTCTTCTGGTGAGCGGCGAGGCATATCTCCAGCCTGAAGCACCGGCCGCACTCGTGGCACTGGAATGGCCTCACTCCCGTGTGGATGCTCTGGTGGGTCGCCAGGTGCCCCCTCGTCGTGAAGCGCCTGCCGCAGTCCCCACACGTGTGCAGCTCTTCGGCCGTGTGGATCCGCTGGTGCCTTTTGAGGTTCCCCTTCTTGCTGAAGCTCTTGCCACACTCTGGGCACGGATGCGTCTTCTGCACCATGCGCTTGGCCGGCCTGGCCAGATCCTTCATGGTGTGTGGACACGATCCCTTTGTCGGGGGTACCCCTCGTTCGCTAGAGGAGCCGGCAGGAGGCAAGGAGCCGTGGTGTTACAGGGGTGGGTGACTGGGAAGGCAGGCAAAGAGAAGGTGCAGGAGCCATCAGGATACAGTAGCCGAAGGACAGCTGATGTCCCGTAGCTTTGCTGACGGAGAGGAGAAATTGTGTTTGGAGACTCAGATGCTGGGGTCCTGCAGGGCTTGTGGGGGACAAGGTGGAGCTGGTTCCTCCTTAGTTGGCATTTTACCACCGCGTCGCCTTCTCACACAGCATGGGGCCATTCCCAGACTCTTCCTGGGGGGGGCTCCTGTACATCATATCCCTGCTGAGGCTTCTCAGTCAGACCTGGGCCTTAGTGTCCTGCATTATAATAGAAAAGAAGTCAAGATATTATTCCTTCTGTTTACTGATGTTGTTTTTTCATGTGAAAAGAATGGCCGCAGGCTTGAAGCACCGGGAACCAAACCAGGGACCTTCTGAGCTGCAAGCGTGAGCTAGCATAGCTCCAGAGGTGGGGTGGAAACACTCATGTCCTTTGTGGACCAGGTGTATAGGGGGATCTGTCAAGCACTCCCGCTCTCTCTTTCGCTTGCTCGCTTACTCATTTCCTCTT